TTGACGGTTCTGAAACAACTCTTAAGACTGCATTCGTTACTAAGCGGTTTGGCTTAGAATGTTTCACCTTACAATGGTAATGTTCGAGCTGTTCCTGACGACACTAACATGGCTGATAATATCTCAGATAGCAGCCTTCACGCTCAGCAGGGAGACTTACTATGCTAACAATATCGCGGCTACATCCTGTTATATCGTAAGTGAAATATTTGCACGGCTGAGTTTCACCAGACATCTATCGTCTCAGCGTCGGGCGAAACTTTAGATACTCATCCTGATGCTGCTGAATCTTCGCTCTGTGAAAGCAGTATTCTAACTGTCATGCTTGTTATGCAGTGCAATTACCGCCTTCGTACATCGAACAATTCCTGGCTGATGACATCGAAATCAGCAAGCGCTAAACAGTAACTGCAGACGATAGGCCGGACGGAAACTACTGGAGCATTCGCTCCTTCATTTCTCTAGGCTGCACAACGATGGCAACCGAAATCAAACAAGCTCGATCTATTTGCTGTACATAACTTATCTTCGGTTAAAGATTCAGGGCATTGTGTAAAAATTTTTACTATTCTGTAAGGAAACGTCTGTAATTAGGAAGGATCATATATGTAACATGACAAAGAGCTTCTTAAACTCGACCTTTACCGTGCTGCAGAAACTGAAACCAGATAGTCATCTGAAATTCAGTTTCTGTTTTTCAAGTTTCTTTCGTTTTTTAGGGTTCAGTAGTCGATAATGACTGATATCTACTCGGTTGAAACGTCGGAGCGATAGTAAATAAAATAAATTTACCTTCTGTGCTGCTAACCATCATAGAGAATTGTAATTAAATAAAAACAACTCATCTTTCGTCATTGCGGGAGAGCGTACATGGGTTCACGGTGTGCGTGAGGAGGGTAATGAGGTCGGACCCAGTGGCGTGGGTTCAGAATGCGAACTGCTGCTGAACGTTGGTTATGGTAAAGAACCACTCGCTACGACAATGTGGTCAAAACCAACCACATCCTGTTAACACCAAGGTGCTGCACAACGTAATGGAGCTAGGAACTGAGACTCGGAGATGGGGATGAATGCTGTGCTACTTGGATGGAAGGTCGTCCTTACAAGCATTTCTGCCTGTACACGTCATAATAGCTTCCTGAAACAGGACAACAGATTCTTGCAAACTGTAACAGAAAAAAGGAAAGCTCAACTGTGACGCACTCTTCACAGGTTAG